TAATTTTTCTTTTTTTATTATATTAGTATTATATTACATCCCTATACTGTGTTATTCCTATGTATGTCTGCACTATGTTTGTACTTTCTTCTACACTGGAAGCTCCTTTCGTCAAGTCAAATTCCTTGTGTGTGTAAACATACTTGGTAATAAAGCTCTTCTGATTCTGATTCTGATTCTGATTTATAAATTGATGTTGATTTTCCTAAAATGTGTTTTTTTTAATTCACCATTACAGTGATTAGCGTTCTCTTTGGTTGGGCACTTGGAACTTCAGTTATGTTGCTATGATTTTCTTCCTGTTAATGCAGCAATGCAGTATGAAGTCTGAGTAATTTGGTTTCAAGAGAAGAAATGTAATGAATAGGTTGCTTTTAGAAGGTGATCTGTCTTCTTAAAGGGGTCATATGATGCGATTTCAAGTTTTCCTTTCTCTTTGGAGTGTTACAAGCTGATTGTGCATAGATAAGATCCCTGAAGTTGCAAAGACTAAAGTCTCAAAACCAAAGAGATATTCTTTATCAAAGTTAAGACTCTGCCACGCCCCCCTAAAACGGCTCGTTCTAACACGCCCCCACATATCTACCTCACTATGCTTTAAATTCTTGAGCTCGTTACAGCAGGATGGATTCTGATTGGCTGTCAGTGTTTTACCATTCATCAGCTGGAAAAAAATCGTTTTGAAAGTGATCACAACGATATCGTTCCTCTGTATCGTTATCGTAATAGTTGTGGTGTGAACTATGCTATTCTTTAATACTGAGAACGATTTTTAGAACTATATCTTTATCGTTATCATTATAGTTATCGTGCTTGGTGTGAACGGGCCTTTAATGTGTTTTTTTTTGTGTGTTTTTTAATGAACTTTTTCATTTTTCATAAATACCTTGAGATGATTTTAATGGGGTTTAAATAATCCTTAAATAGTGTGTGGTAATATGCTCAAGTCACACGCAGACTTAAACATTCGGCACGTGAATCACAACAATGGTAACAATTCAATTTCATTTATTTTTATTAATTGTAACAATAACCATTTTATTTGCTCTTTTTGTTGTGCTACTACTGACACAAGACAGCAAATAAAATTGGCAAATAAAATCAACAACTGTAAAACAATGCAACTGTATAATTTATTCATGCCGCAATGCACTCTGGGAGTCAGTGAGTAGCTATACTAAGTCATGAGTAAACCTAAATGAAAGGATCAAGTACCCCCTACAGTGCTTTTTTAGTTACTAGAACTCTCGTGTAAGTAAACTATACTAACTAAGCTTTTGTCAGTACAACATACTATTCCTATTTCACTTTACTTAGTTTTTTCAAGGCAATCGGTTTGCATGCTTTTTCTAAGTAAGCCAAACTAATTAGATTTTACAGTATTGCTGCTTTCATCCACGGATTCCACTCAAGGACAAAGAAAGTCATCATGCAACTGAAGATAGGGAAAACAGTCAACAATCCAAATCCATCACCTAATGCGTCACAAACAACTTCTGGACACAGTAAATACAAAGCAAAAGATACAATGCATTTAGAAATATAACGCTTAGGGCAATCAAATGTAAGAGTTGCAACAGTTATGCAACTACAATCACAACCACTTCCATATGTAGACCAACTCTAAACAAACCAAACAACCAACAAAAAAACAGCAACAACTTTATCCCTCATTTAGTACACTCAATCATTAACAATTAATCAATATATACATTAAACAAAAAATTAACAACAACAATTTTGAGAGAAACACAAAGACGTAAACATACCCAGGCTTACATAACATCAGATGCTCTGTAGGAAGTAAAAACATTACATTAATTTCACAGATGAAATGGAGAGCAAATGTTTTTTTGTTTTGCTTTTATTTTTATATATTTTTTATTTATAAAATATATATATATATATACTGTATATATATATATATATATATATAGTTTTTCTAGTTTTGGTTATTTTAGAGCTTCAACAAACTAAATGAAAATTTGAAATTTTGCTTTTGCATCTAGCTGTAAAATCTAACTTATTTCAATTAACAATTTTTTCAATGGTTTTAGTTTTAGTTAATGATAATAACCCTGGTCTCCTGGTGTTTCTCCCGACTAAATGATCCCAGTAATCACGTGTCTCCTTTTATAGTTTATTGAGAACAATGTCCCAGACTGTGCTTACATTGCCACGCTACCAAGT